TCACCCCACAGCCAACAACTACAGCGTGTTCTGTAGCTCTCCTCACCAATCCGTCATGGCGTCCATCACAACCAATCTTTGAGAGCGTAACCATCTCCTGGACGTTTGCTCGGGCCGCTCTCCTCCACCTGTCCCTCTCTGCTGTCCCCTTCATCATCAAGTGTCCAGGAATGTACTTTTCATGCAACGAACTCTTCTTGAGCTCCCAAAAGGCATCAAGTAACGTGATGAATGAGAATGCACCGAGAGGAAAGGCGCAGCTCCTCGGCAGTTCACGCTGCTGCACCGTGCCTCTGTCACCGCACGCATCCCCGCAGTTGTCCTTCCGGGTAAAGCAGGAAGAGCTTCATCCAAGCCGCGTGCTTTTCGGCATTGCGGCTTTCCCCTCTCTGCCACTAGAGGGACGAACTTCAACCTGCGATAAGATAGTCAACCCCAGAAAGGCGGAGGCCAGGGTTCATGTGAGGCTGTCCTGACAGGGAGCGGCAATTTTAGCCTGTGTCGCTCAGCCTTGCGTGTTACGGGCATCTCTGCCTGCGGCCCTTTAGTAAGCGCAGGAGGAGTCCGAAGGATGGTGCAGAGTCTGGTTGGAAACCCTGAAGTAGCCACAGGCTTTGCTTCCAAGAGACCCAGCAGAGCAGCTGGCCAGACACATGGCAAAGTTCCTGCTGCTAATTTGCAAAAAGAACCAGAAATTGATACACACGCAGAGAAGCATTTCCACAAGTTTCCTCCGATGGCCCCTGCTGTCCCCTATACCTTCGTGTGGCCTTTTCATCTCTCTTTTCACCTACCAATGCTTCCACGAAAATCGACTTTTAAAACTTCTTATTCTCAGAACCAGACCCTGACAGATATTTGAGGCATTCTTTGAAGGCATTGTGGCTTTGGATAAATGCTCTCCTTCGAGGGATACTACGGGGGATAAGCTTAGGAATCCCCGGGGCCTACAGCAATGGGTTAACAAGGCATAAACACAAAGTCATAAAATGCTCACACCAGATTGGCACTCCAAGAATAGGGAGGCACAAAGGTGCCAAGAATAGGGAGGTGCAAAGGCACCCCAAAATAGGGAGGGGGTGCTGAACCCCCCAAAATAGAGAGAGGCAAAGGCCTGAAATAGAATCGGCGCCAAGGTGCCCAACACATAGGAATAACGAGATTAGAGATTCAGGGTGAAAGCACCCCAAGTTTGGTACTACAGCAGAGAGCTGCTTTCATAGGAGAATAGGGCCAGGTCAGGTAAATTGGTGAATTGGACTTTGGACGACTGCGCTGCAGGCAAAGCAGCCCGGAGTGGAGATGGTTAACAAAAGAAAAGGTGTCTTGTCAACCCTGAGGTTATTCCCTGTCTGTCTCATCCCCTAGGCTGGCAAAGATAAACAGGCATGGTGTCTCCTGTCTGCTGTTAACAGCCATCTACCCATCTGCTCGGCACCTGGATTTTGTTTTATAGTGACCCAAACCCCAAACACTGTATATCTTCAAAATCCCCTTTTCCCCCTCACATCCACAAGTTAATGTTCCTAGGTTCTTTCTCTCTTTGTACATACCCATCACGTTTGCAAGCCTTCTGATCTGAATAAATATGGAGCAAGGACCCTTATTCGGGGCTCTTGTCTTTTTCCTGGACATTAGCCATCTCTCTTTTTAATCCTGTGTCTGCTCTTTTGCTAGACAAAAGAGAACTTTAGACTTAGAGTCTACGACAGGATACTATGTGCAAAGGTTCCACTTGAGCACAGGAGTCTCTGGAGCCAACAAGGTGAAAACAGAACCCTAGCCCATGGCAGAGGACGTGGGGACAAAAGAGTTAATGTCACCAAGAGCCTCCCAGGGGGTGGAGCCAGGGATATGGAGAATGATGGTAAGGATCCCATCAGGGAGCAGAATCTGGGGCTGAGGAAGAAACTGCCACCATTTTCAGTTTAGAGAACCTCCCAAGTGCCTGTCCAGCAGACTTACGTCATTGCTTCTGACTCGTCACCTCTAGGCTTACTTCATGTTCCCTTTCTTCAATTGGGACTATTTACCAAGGCTATCGGGCCCCATCATTTGCACACAGCACACAGGAGTTATATAATATTTTTCTCTAATTTTTTAAACTGTTCATTTATTTATTTTTGAGAGACAGAAAGACAGAGTGTGAGCTGGGGAGGTGTGAGAGAGAGGGAGACACAGATTCCGAAGCAGGCTCCAGGCTCTGAGCTGTCAGCACAGAGCCCAATGCGGGACTCGAACTCACAAACCATAAGATCATGACCTGAGCCAAAGTTGGACGCTTAACTGACTGAGCTCCCCAGGCGCCCAGGAGTTATCTAATCTTATCTAGTCCTTTAGGTTTTTTTCTCACCAGACCACAGGAAGTCACATCCCATCCATTGAGAGCAATGGTGCATCACTGAGAGATCCCTGAGTATAGCTGGGCGCAGTGGTTGCCTTGTCTCTGGACTGACTCTCTTGGGAAAGGCCTGAGAATGTTCTATGTTTGGGAAGAAGGGTACATTGTGGATATTCGGGGTGTGAAGAGTCCTCTAGCAGTCCTCTGTTGAACTAGCTACCAACTCTTCTAGGTGGACAAAACTTAAACATTCTCTACAGAGACATAGAATGAAAAAGAGGGCTTTTTTTTCTTTTTTTTTTTTTAAATCTCAAGAAAAACCTATAGAGTTTTGCCTTATGGAATTAAAAAGTATTTTTAGTATTTTTACTTACAGTCAAAACAGTATGTAGTTCTCAGACTTTAGCATGAATTAGAACTATCTGGAAGGTTTACTAGCTCGGAGATTGCTTGGCCCCACTCCCAGAATTTGTGATGCGTTTTGTCCAGGATGGAGCCTGCGAATTTGCATTTGTGGCACATCCCAGGGTGATGCTGATACTTTTTTTTAGTTTCTTTTTTTTTATATTGGTTTCAAGAGTAGAATTTAGTGATTCAGCATTTACATATAACACCCAGTGCTCATCCCAACAAGTGCCCTCTGTAATGGCCATCCCCCATTCAGCCCATCTGCCATCCACCTCCCCTCAACAACCCTCAGTTTGTTTTTTGTGTTTAAGAGTGTCTTATGGCTTGCCTCCCTCTCTGTTTTTATCTTATTTTGTTTTTCCTCTCTTCCCCTACGTTCATCTGTTGTGTTTCTTAAATTCCACATATGAGTGAAATCATATGGTATTTGTCTTTCTCTGACTTATTTCGCTTAGCATAATACCCTCTAGTTCCATCCATGTCATTGCCAAGATTCCATTCTTTTTGATGGCCGGATGCTGATACTTCTTGTGTCTGATGGCAACATGGGAACTAGAGTATTATACCACTTTGCACTTGATGTAGCCACTCAGGTGGCCCTCCCCACTCTCAGAACGGCAAACCAGGACTCTCTCTTAGTCTAGGCTGAGACAGGGACAGCCCTGACCCTGTATTCTGGACACAGACACATCAATAGTGGTAAGGGCCAGAATAATCGCAACTCTCAGGGAGTTCAGTTTCATTTTTCTCAAAATAGAAATATTACCAGGAGAGAGTTGGGTTTTCTTTTTCAGTTTCTATTTTGCATCCACACTGCATATTCTGACACTACCCCGGCTGCCAGAGCAGCTGGTACATCGTGTCATGAACCCATTATACAAAGCCACTGGCCGGATAGATTTCCAAAGAGTAGAACAATAGTTCCGGGCATTTCACAACACAGCTATAGCCTGCTTGCCCCCAACCTGCTACCCGTATAATAAGATTTAAACACTTCTGTCCAATAGTTTTCTTGAATGCAGATTCAATACAAACAACAAACTCTACAATGTTCCTAGTTTCCTTCTGCAGTGGTTCCTGTACATCTAACATGCATTTCTATAAATACATACTAGAACTGGTAACTCCTGAATGACACCTAAAAGTAACGGTTTCCAACCGGGATAGCTTTGGCCGTGTGTCCCGATAAAAGGGCAGAGGATTGTCAACGAACCTAGCTGTTGCTTGCACCCACCCCTATGAATACAAAGCCTACCATAAATAATGCTATCTCCAGGATGGAACTACCTGTCGTGGAGAATAGGTTTCACTCGTGCTCTGTGTAATTTCTCGGCCTCAGCGACGCCCGGTGCTGCTACCTCTTGTCCTCTTGGGTCTAGGCACACGGTAACCCCTTTGCGATCAAGGGTTTGAATAAGGAAAAGGCAAAGAAAGTAGCTGTCCTCCATCGTCACGAACCTCCGTGGCTGCGCATTGCAATGTGTGGGTGCTGGATACCGGGGCGACCCGAGGGATTTTAAATGTTGCGGTGCTCAGGGAAGCCCACTGCACGGGTTTGGCTTAGGTTAGTGATCATGATGGGCGGATGGTGGATGGACAGAGGAGCTAAAGCTCCAGAAAAGGCAACATCAAAGATTTCCCTTCTGGTCTCTTTGGTTAATGATTTCAGCTCTCGAGTATGATAAAAAGCTAGTGTGTACTTATCACGTGCCAGGCGTTATTCTGAGGACATCTCATGCTTTCACCCATTTGATGCTCACAACACCATTATGAGTTGGTAGGAGTAGTGGGATCCCCATTTCACAGGAGAACAAACTAATGCACAGGGAAACGTTCAATAATTTCCAGCATCACGGCATATACGTGGAGCCCGGGTTCAAATCCAGACAGGTGACAGCAGAGCCCACGGTTCCAATCATTTAGTCATTCGTTCAGCCTCTAGCCTTTGAATGCCTGCCACGTGCTGGGTATTATTGCAGGGACTGGAGATTCGGTGGTGAAGAAAACCAACACAAACCCCAACCCTTACAGGGGTCTGTGGGCCACACTGGTGATAAGGGCGGGCAGAGTGAGGATGGGTTAACATTACAGTAATGAAGCAGGGTGCTTGGTGCTTGATACGTGTATGCATCCTTCTCCACGCTGGGCTGCCTTGATGTCAGCTGATCTAGGACATCACAACAGTCACAAAGAGGAAGTTCTGACTCACTGCAGGGTGGGGCCGCGGGGGTGCTATAGGCTTGGCCCTTACTCAAGGTTCAGTTTCCCTAGGAGTCTTGCCAGTTTCACTTTCCAGTTTCAGTTTCTCTTTCCTCAAGCCAACTGCGGGAGAAAGCGAGGTAAAGAAACCAGGTGATGCTTCCATATATAGGTCTCCTTAGCATCTCTCTGAGGCAGAGGAGGAAGATTTCCGGAGAGCACAGTGGCCTGAGCTGCAGCCTTTCAGAACAGTTGAGAAGTGCCCCGTGATCATGAGGTAAAGATTCGCCTGCTCTGATCGTGTTGAAAATGTCCAATCAATCTCGTTGTGGAATGCAAATCCTATACAGCCATGCTCCTGAAACACGAGTTCCCGATTTGTTTTGCTTTAGTGTTTGCCTGTAGCCTTGCTGCGCATCTGTCTGTAGTCGTGTGTTTGTCTTACTGAAGCTGGCTGGCTTATTTCTGTTATTTTCTGCCCCACGCAGTCAAGCTTTGTTAGGGCGTCTCTCCTAGGGAAGCTGACAGCTGAGGTCCAGAGGAGGGAGGGAGTGGGGGAAAGGCAGAGAGAGAGAGATGCTTTATCAGGCAGGTGCTTCATGTAAAGATGGATCTGGGGGAATTGCTCCTGTAGACTCTCTTTTGTTTTGAAAGGATTAAGTGGGGGCTTTTAATAGGATTCTTATTTCACGAACAATCTCTTTTGGGCAGATATTGTTAAAATGTACTCTGGGTAGCAACCCCAGCTCATGCTAAGCTAGATTTTACTTTTAATGTGCTCATTCATCTCAGATTTGTATTAGGGCTGGTAAAATGTATTCATTCACTCAATAGAAATATATTTTACCTCCAAATGCTACTGATTAGCTAGAGTCCTTCTCTCTGAAGTATGAATTGGAGGCAGGGTGCTTGGAGAAAATAGCCCCCACCTCAAAAATGCTCTCACACCTCAGAAACCTAAGATTTCCCGGGAAGGAAGAAGGGTAGGAAGGGAGATTTCTGTTTTCTCCAGCGTGAGGGTGGGGTGAACAGACTAGATGCCTATGCCTCAGGCCTGGGAGCTCCAGAATCTGGAGACACCCACCCCGGCACTTACTTCCTAGGGGATACATTGCCCTCCTTCTATAAGTTTCCTGCTCTCTCTTCTTGGAATGATATTTTTTTCTGCTCCTCTACATGTGTGTCTGATAAGAAAGAGAAAGATTTGATCTATTTCCAGATGTCTGTTTGAGAGTAACTCAGAATATTTAGAAATATTTCTTATGGGGCGCCTGGGTGGCGCAGTCGGTTGAGCGTCCGACTTCAGCCAGGTCACTACCTCGCGGTCCGTGAGTTCAAGCCCCGCGTCAGGCTCTGGGCTGATGGCTCAGAGCCTGGAGCCTGTTTCCGATTCTGTGTCTCCCTCTCTCTCTGCCCCTCCCCTGTTCATGCTCTGTCTCTCTCTGTCCCAAAAATAAATAAACGTTGAAAAAAAAAATTAAAAAAAAAAAAGAAATATTTCTTAGAACTTCAGCATGGTCTCTCTTAGAGTCTTCCCCTTAAGAACACAGACCTATCAGTATCTCTCCTAATTGTCTTTGGTCCCTTAGCTATGGGCACTGTCACCAGGCACTGGCCCTGCACTCTAAGGTAGTGGCTCTTTAATTTGAGCATGCATGAGATCTAATGGAGGGCTTGCTGAAGACCATTCCTGGGCTCAAGTCCCCACTTCAGATTCGGATTTGGTAATCCTAGGTTGAGGTCCAAGGATGTTCATTTCTAACTGCTCTAAGACACTGGTAACGGCATTGGCTCTGAGCCCAGTAAACAACCATCACCGTGGCTTTCATCCAGACCAGAAGCAGGGGAAGAAAGTGTTGTGTGTATACAGTTGGTGCTTCTAGAGGTATCAGGAGCATAATTTTCACAAGTCTGAATCCAGGAAGCAAGTGTCTGGAACCAGCTTCTGATTCACTGGTAGAAATAAAAGCCCATAATCACACAGTGAAATTGGATGCTTTTGAATGGCTGCTCAAAGGGATTTTACCTAAGTGTGTATAGTAAGTGCCTCTCTCCTGCAAATGCACAATTGACCATATGCTCTGTATGTTGGCAATAATTTCAACTGTATTCACTCTGTTTCTTTTATAGAATGAGAAAGCTGCTAAAGAGCTTATGTGCTAAGGGAACCTTCCTGAAACCTTATTGAGAAGGAAAATAGATCAGGTCGGACGTGAACTTTTCAAGGGGAGGCTGCTGTCATTACAGTGACAGAAACCACACCAGGCACTCTCCTGGGCTCACACACATATACATGTGTGTGTGCGCGTGCACACACACACACACACACACACCCATATTACATCAAGAGGCTCAGACATCCTGGCTTTTCACTAAGACCTATCCAGGGCTTTGAAAGGACAGAGGGTTCTTCCCCAAGCAGGAACTCCTACCCATTTTCCTTCATCTCTTCTGTTTATTCTCCCTGGGGTAGTTGAGTCTCCATCTGATTCAAGTAACAGAAATGAACAGGGACTGATTTAAAGTTCCTGGAAGGGCTCACAGGACCCACACGCATGACTAGAGCCAGCCACTGTTCTAGAGGGCCAGAACAGGACAAAGGAGAGCTTGGGAGCCCCAGAGTCTCTGTCCTGTGCATGTGTATCCAGTCACAGCCACTCCATTGTGTGCTGCAGATCGTGGACGCCATGACACCTCCAGTGTGCACGGTGCTCTCTTTGACTCCAGAAAACCAGCTCCCTTGCACTTCCATTTCCAGCTTCCACTTGAGTTTGGGTGCCCAGCCCTGATCTAGTCATCAAATTGGGGGATGGGGGTGGGGGAGGGTATCAAAAGTGAAAGATAGGGGACAAGAAGAAAATGGAGGAATATAATCTTCCATTTGGACAACATTTCAACAGCGGTATTTGCCACATTATGTAACTTCCCAGATATCTACTGCTTGTCTATGTCAGAATTCGTAACATTTAGAATATCAGCTCCTCATAAAAGGGTTAATTAACATATACCCTGAAGAAAAAAAAAATTTTTAGTGAGAAAGAGCAACATTTCAGGGACTCCAATACATAGGCAATGCAGAGAAACGATTTGGGGCAGTTGATGATTTTTAACCTTCTCGTCGCTGAAGTTATCTAAGATGGGGTTTTGGGGTGGAGAGTTTTTATTTTATTTTATATTTTATTTTATTTTATTCCATTCTATTCCATTCCATTCCATTTTAAAGAACTAACACTGAAGGGAATGGAAAATTCTTCCAGAAGAGTTTCAAGAGTACCTTAAGGGAAAAGGAGCATTTCCCATAACAGAAGATGCTAGCTGTCTTCTGAGCCCCCTCCCAGAGCTGCACTTCTAACACCATGAGTGAAAGCAAACCATAGGAGAGGAAAAATAAAATTTCCAAAGATAATTAAAGCAACAAATGCAAAATTTTTAATAGACCAACACAATGGGAGATGTTAAGAACAGAAATCTCCAGACTAAGAAATAGAGGTGGGGGTGGAGGGGAGAAAAAAATGATCATATTTTATTCCAAAATAAAAGTTTAAAACATTGCTAGCATATATAATAAAATTAAGGGGTAGAATAATACAAAAGCAGAAGAAGTAAGAATTTAGAATTATTGAAATACAATTTAAATGGTTAAAATGTAAAAGTGCAGATAAAATGAGGACAGAGAATGCTGAATTAATAAAAAGACAAGACAGGGGCACCTTGGTGGCTCAGTTTGTTAAGCATCCGACTTCAGCTCAGGTCATGATCTCACAGTTTGTGAGTTTGAGCCCTGTGTCGGGCTCTGTGCTGACAGCTCAAAGCCTGGAGCCTGCTTAGGATTCTGTTTCTCCCTCTCTCTCTGCCCCTCCCCTGCTCATGCTCTGTCTCTCTCTTTCAAAAATAAACATTAAAAAAATAGTAATAATAGTAATAATAATAGTAATAAAATAAAAAGACAAGACAAAGCCAATGGGATTAAAAAAAAAGTTTGGATAAACAAAGAAAATCAATTAAGGATATATGGAAAACTTATTAATAAGATAGGCTATAGAAAGGAATAATGCTAAAAAGGACAGACGAAGAACTAAGGAACTAAAACTACAGGGGACAAAATGCAGCTGAACTTCAGAGGGATAATAAGATTAAAATCAAGCCGGCAAAACATTAAAAGAATAGTCCATTCTAAAGCTAACATCTTCAAAACACGGAAGTAAATGCTAGGTAAGATGAACAGAAACAGAAAGTAATCAAATAGCCTTTCTTCAAAACCGCATCAGGTCCACCGTGGGCTGGAATCCCTTCCCCCAGGCTTGACCCAGCACTACCTGATGGAAACCACCTTGTTCAGGGAAACCCAGCCCCGGGCTCAGAGCATCCCTCCCCCAACTCCACCACTGCCCTCTCCCTAATTCCTCTGCCGCCCAGTCACCCAATCCCTGAGTCTCTGTGCATTTAATGCATAGGCCAAAATATAGAAAGAAACAAACAGGAAATATTGTTCTCTTTTGAGCGGGGTGAACACCCTTGAGGAGGAGAGGAGAGTTGTGTCTGCCCTGCTCCTGGAGAATCCGTGCTGTGTCTCAAAGTGTCCATCTCTCTGTTTCGCCCTCCAGTGAGACCACCAGAAACACCTTGGAGAGTTGTCTGCGGCAACTTAAATGCCATTTCACGTGGAACTTGGTGGAGGGAGGAAAGTCGTTGGATGACTTTGAAGACGAGGTATGTAACACAACGGAGTTCCAGAACAACGAATTCAAAGCCACGGTGTTCAACATACTGGCCTACATAAAACACCGCAGAGGCCACGATGAGGCTGCCCTGGGGTGCCTACAGAGGGCTGAGGAGCTGATCCAGCGGGAGCACACAGAGCAGGCAGACATCAGAAGTCTGGTCACCTGGGGAAACTACGCCTGGGTCTACTACCACCTGGGCAGACCCGCAGACGCTCAGATGTATGTGGACAAGGTGCGACGGGTATGCGAGAAGTTCCGCAGCCCCTACAGAATCGAGAGTCCTGAGATGGACTGTGAGGAGGGGTGGGCCCGGTTACAGTGTGGAGGAAAGCACAACGAGAGGGCCAAGGTGTGCTTTGAGAAGGCTCTGGAAAGGAATCCCCAGAACGCAGAATTCAGCTCTGGCCTGGCCATCGCGAGCTACCGTCTGGACACCTGGCCGCTGCCTCAGGATCCTGTCGACCCTCTGAGGCGGGCCATTCAGCTGAATCCTGACAACCGGTATGCGAAAGTGCTCTTGGCTCTGAAACTTCAGGGGATGAAGGAAGAAGGTGAAGGAGAGAGGCTTGTGGAGGAAGCTTTGGAGGGGGCCCCGTGTGCAACCGACGTGCTTTGTGGAGCAGCGAAGCTGTTTAAAAGAAAAGGAGCCCTAGACAAAGCTATCGAACTGCTTCTAAAGGCTCTAGAAGGCATGCCCAACAATGCCTATCTGCATTACTACACTGGGTGCTGCTACAGGGCAAAAGTCCTCGATATCCTACAGGACACAGGAAAGAATGGCATGTCCTGGAGAAGAGAAAAGTTACAGGAAGCCATTGAGCAAGCTGTGTATCATTTGAAGAGAGTGGAGGAGGCCGATGCAAACCACCCCTGTGTCTGCTCCTATCTGGCCTGCCTCTATGCACAAGCAGGTCAGTACGACGAAGCAGAGTGCTACTTCCAAAAGGAATTCTGCAAAGAGCTTTCTCCCGTAGCCAAACAAGTCCTCCACCTGCGCTATGGCAACTTCCAGCTCTACCAGCTGAAGAGCGAGGACAGAGCCATCCACCATTTCATACAGGGTGTGAAAATAAAGCAGGACTCAAAGGAGACAGAAAAGATGAAAAATAAGCTGCAAAAAATTGCCAGTGTCAGGCTTTCTAAAAACGGGGCGGATTCTGTCGCTTTGCACCTCTTGGAGTTTCTTCAGGAGCTGGGTACAGAGATGCGGCCAGCAGAGGAAAAGTCTGAGAGGCATTTGGATTCTGGAAGCTTCCTCCCTTCAGCATCTTCCCCTGAGGAATGAGGAATCAGGATATGGTGCCCGTGGGATGGTGACGGGAAGGGAAGCAGAAACCCCTCCACCAAGTAGTTTGTGTTCAAGATACTTCTCAGCTGGTATGGCGTAGGCCTGGACCGAGCCACTGGCCACCAGTCTGGACCAGGTTTACAGAGGAACCCACTGCGTAGTGTGTTTACACATGGATCACTCAGGCTTTTCTGAGACAGGGACTAGATTGGAGTAGGGGGGGTGGCCCTGGGACTTGGCAAGAGGGCTAGTTCCGAATTGACCTCCTGGGAGCACTATGCATTGTGACATTCCCTTAGTCATCCTCCCTGGGTGATGCTTTGGGTTTGTCTTTATGTTTATATAAAGCAGCCAGATTCCTCACATCTGTAACACTGTGATCCATTTTTTGTAATGTTTTTCCACCCTTAGATCCTATACGGTTTGGCCCTGCATAGACACCAAAGTGCTGTTTCCATTTAAAGGCTGGGGCACCAAAGCCTACATAGGGCTGGGTGTCTCTTCTCCCCCACTTCTGCCTCCTCCCCCCAGACAGTCTTCCATCTAGACTGTCCTATACAACCTGAGTTCAACTGTCCCATTAACTGAATTGGGAACGTAGTTTGAAGAAAAGAGAGCAGAGAACAGGTTGAATTTAGAAGGAACACACCCAGGACAAGCCACGGGATCAGGCAATCACAGTACAAGGGTTTTGGGAGGCACGTGGGGAGGTTTCGCTTCCATTCCACCCTCCCTGTAACACAGCGCGTGAAGAATAAAAAAGGGGATTGTGCGCAAATGCTAGAAACCAAAATAATGCATTTCTCTAAAACATGTGGAAAAATAAATATTACACCAGTAGGGACAGGGATCGAGTAGGCAAAATAGAGAAAGAGAGAATGCTGGTTTGTCACTGTAGACCGGAATCCTATGGAGAAAATTTTCATTTTCTTGGCCATTATTTGGAAAATTTCCTTGTAAGATGAAGTCGTGCTTTGTTCAAAAGTGCCCAGGTTCAAGGTGATGGGAAAGTAGCAGAACAGAAGGCTCCCTTGGAAGCCAAGGACCTAGAGAAAGGTCTTGTCAGATGACATCAATAATGGAGGGGTTTTCCCCCGACTAGACGTTTTTATATTAGGTGATATAAAACTGCTTTTCACCCTGAAAATATTCAAGGAAACCACAAAATTCATGATTTGCTTGGGGTGACTGGGGTTTTCTAGGTAAATACTGAATGCCCCATGACATCAGGGTCCATGTGAACCAAAACAAAGTCGGTTGACCCAGCCTGAGACCATCAGTCACCCTCTGGGTTGGAAAAGATTTGCCTGTTCCGATTAATTTAAATTTAAATGGCAGTTACCAGGGGTTGGAGGTTGGGGGAGTAGGAGAGATGTTTAAGGGTACAAACTTACAACTGATTAATAAGAAAGTACTGGAGATCTAATGTGTAGTATAGTGACTGTAGATAACAATATCGTATTATAATCATCAAACTTGCTAAGAGGCTAGATCTTAATTACTCATACCACAGAAAAGAAATGATAAATATATGACATGATACAGGTAGTAACTATTGCTACAATCATATTATGGTATATAAATGTGTCAAATCAACCTTAAAGCTGCAGTGTTATACGTCAAGTATATTTCAATAGATTTAAGTATATTTAACATTTTTACTAAGAAATGAAAACATTATATAAACTTCAAGGTTTTTTTAAGTGAAAAATTACAACTTTGGGTGATGGGCATTGAGGAGGGCACTCATTGGGATGAGCACTGGGTGTTGTAGGTAAGCAATGAATCACGGGAATCTAGAGCACGCTGTATACACTGTATGTTAGCCAATCTGACAATAAATTATATTTAAAAAAATTGCAACTATATAACAACACTTTTCATGTTATCTTTGCATTAAACATAGTGTTGTGGGGGCACCTAGGTGGCTCAGTTAGGCATCCAACTCTTGATTTCAGCTCAGGTCATGATCTCACAGTCGTGGGATTGAGCCCCGTGTCGGGCTCCGAGCTGAGCACGCAGCCTGCTTGGGATTCTCTCTCTCTCTCTCTCTCTCTCTGTCTCCCTCCCTTTCTCTCTCTGTCCCTCCCCCACTAATGCTCGCTCACGAGCTCTCTCTCTCTCTCTCTCTCTCTCAAAATAAATAAATAAATTAAAAAAACAATAGTGTTGTGTGCACTTGAGATCACTGGTATGCAGAGCATCGATTCTTGAATAAAGCAAAAGATTTAATTAATAAATAACTTAGAGGTGATGGAATATAAGGGGGAGCGGTTTCTGGTTTTTTTTCAAAATTTGCTGCACCTTAAGTCTTCCAGACCCAGCTACTGATTAACGGAATGTCATGCGGGTTACGAACTATATATAACCCAGATTGGTCTAACATTCTAACCACTGAATACTACAGGCTTTTTTTCCCCTCTACCTTACGAATCCAGGACTTCAGCTTACACCCTGACCCCCACCACCATGCACCCTCATGCACACAAACACCCCAACCCCACACTCTGCCAGAGGGTGGGCTCCCTCTCTTCTTTCCGTTATATCTTGTTAACACCACGTGCTGCCTTCCGCATTCTCTCTCCTCTTCTGACCTCCTTTACGGGAAATGACTGTCGCCCATTCTCTTTTATGCTCCATCCTGGAGGCAATCTAAATGCCTGTTGGAGAGGCTTTCCTATTAATTAAAGAATAGAAAGAGACAAAAGGCCCCGAAGTCTCTTGTTTTCCAAGAGGCCTCTGGTGGAAAATACAACTCACACCAGCTGCAACGGTAAACTCATTCCACTGGACTGAATTGAACAAGCATACATCTCAGGGAAAGGTTTAGCTTCCTTATTATTGGATCTGGTGCTTGGGGAGGAAGGGCAGGGGTGCTCTGAGCGGAAGGTAAGATGGGCAGGTAGGCCAACCTTGAGAGAGAACCAAGGAGTGCCAAAGAAGGTATACTGGATGCACACCATCTTGTCCAGGCAAGTGACGCCAGCAAAACCAGTGCTTGGATCCTTTCAGGATCCTGAAAGGACACAGGTGGAAAGAACAGGGAAGAGATATAATGCGTTATACTCAATTTTTATTTGAGGACTTAACGCTGACAGAAATGATTAGAAAACAATAGACAAAATTATGTTGGTTGCTCATGTTTCCTGAAATCTCGCTATCCAGGGACAACAAATGGAGCCATGTTATTTGGAATGAGTCAAAACTCCCTGACTCTTAACCACATTTCTCAGTGCAGGGCATGTGACTCCCCTCGGATACCCACCCAGCTAATTCGAGGAGGCATCTCACGGGTGTCGAGGAACAAGCCTGACAGAATTTTCTTTTTCTTTTTTTTTTTTTAATTTTTTTTTTCAACGTTTATTTATTTTTGGGATAGAGAGAGACAGAGCATGAACGGGGGAGGGGCAGAGAAAGAGGGAGACACAGAATCGGAAACAGGCTCCAGGCTCCGAGCCATCAGCCCAGAGCCTGACGCGGGGCTCGAACTCACGGACGGCGAGATCGTGACCTGGCTGAAGTCGGACGCTTAACCAACTGCGCCACCCAGGCGCCCCAGAATTTTCTAATCACATCTGTTATTCATATTGTTCCCACCTACGTGCACTAACGTCCTCTGCTCATAAAACTGCCTCGATATATCGCCTCTGGTTGCCACCTTGAGAGCTTACTGATATCCTGCCAAAGATGTTCTCACCTGTGTTAGTGCCCGTGAAGGAGTAAGGAGAATTCCTCTCATCCGTCTGGGTGTTAAGCAATACTGAGTATTTGCCAGCATTAGAGTCTTCAGTGGAAGGTTCGTCAGCTTCTGCTCATAGCCCCTTTTTCCATAGAGCTGAGAGACAGCCCCCAGGGGCAGCAGACCTTGAGTCATGCTCCATGTTTATCTTCCTTCCTACCTCATGTCAACAGATTTTCACAACCTGCATCCAGTGCAACTAGAAACATTGGAAGGTTCCAAATCCTGAAGATAAACTCAGGTAAGACTGTAAGGTCCCTACTGTGTGCACAATCAACCTTGGACGCCAACCTGGGAAATGTGGATTCCACCCAGAGACGATATGCTCCTCTCTCCCTCCTTCCTCTACCATTTCCCTCATCACTTAGTTTTAGGAAGGGAGTAATTAGGATTGACAAGTAAGTATGATTTACAGTGTAATTGTTCATTGCTGGTGACCTGTAGCTTCTTGGGAGGCTGTGACACACTAAGGGTGTCTGGGTGGCTCAGTCGGTTAAGCAGCCGACTCTGGATCTCAGCTCACGTCTCGATCTCAGGGTCTTGAGTTCAAGCCCTGTGTTGGGCTCCACACTGGGTGTGGAGCTTACGTGAAAAAAGAAAAAAAGAAAAGAAAAGAGAAAAAGAAAAAAGGGAAACTAACTAAAATCCTTAGTATAAAACAGTACAGCAACTCGGACAAACAGTTCCTCAGTTCCTCAAATGGTTAAACATAGACTTAGCATACAGCCTAGTGTTTCCATTCCTATATACCCAAGAGAAATGAAAACACATTCACATAAACTTGGACATGAATGTTCATGGCAGCATTATGCATAATAGCCAAAAAGTAGATTCATCAACTGATAAATTGGCATATTAAATATGGTATATCCCTACAGTGGATTATTACTCATCAATACAAAGTGTGGTACTTATTACAATTATTGCAAATAAATGTAGTACTGATACATGCTCCAACATAGATGAACCTTGAAAATATTATGGTAAGTGAAAGAAGCCAATCACAAAAGGTGTATTAATATGAAATGTTCACAGAAGGAAAATCTATAGAGATAGAACGTGGATAGTGGCTGCCTAGGGCTGGGGTGAATGGCAGAACCACAGGTGACAGCAAAGGGGCATGGACTTTTCTTTTGCAGGGAATGAGAATCTTCTAAAATTTACTGCGGGGATGGTTGCACAGCTCTGTGAAATGGTGAAAGCTTTTGAACTGTACCCTCTAAGTGGGTCAATTGCACAGTATATGGATTATGTTTCAATATAACTGTTAAAAATTTCTAATAGCCAAAAAGTAGATTCCTTAACTGATGAATTGACTCTTGTTCCAAATGAATATAAAGAAAGCAAGCTTTTCTTTCATTGCCTTCTATTTTTAGCCACTAGGTTTGTTTTCATTGTACTGTACCCTTCGTATGACTAGCATTTTAAATACTGTTGCTGCTTCACTGCTTTTGTACTCCACAGATATGTTGGGAGAAATCATCCAGCCTGTTGTCTGAGTAGAGTATGAAAATCTAGTCTTTATCATTTTAATATTTATTTCTTTATTTGTTTGTTTATTTATTTAGAAAGAGAGCATGAGTGGGGGGCCAGAGCACAGGGAGAGATTGAATCCCAAGCAGGCTCCATGCTG